AGTGCCCATTAGGGTCCTAATACCTTAAATGATATGCACGGGAAGACATATCAAGAACGGGCACGTGCAGCAGACCAAAGCCTCTAGGCTATGGGTGTGTGATGTCCTTATAAACTTACTAACTTACGAACGGTATAGAAAGCTCCTTCAAGTATTTGGTTGTAAATTCTTTATTTGACAACAATATCATAAAAGTAGTGAATTCGCACCCTATGCCCAATGATTTTTAAGAATCGGTTACATATTTTATAATTTTTGACTCGTTTTATTAGTATTAATATTTTTGTATTTTCGGCCACCTGTGAACAGCAGCTTTGAATGCACACTTCTAGTGCTACAATATTTCAATTAAGATTTGACAAGCATATTTTTGTTTGACATTTTTAACCTTTAAGCTTAGTACAAGTTTACACTACTTAACTAAACTTGCAGTCTCCAAAACCTGTTTTTTTAACATTTCAGATGGCAGATTAAAGTCTAATTAATTGGAGGCAATGAATTATATGTATCATATATTATAAGGCCTTAGCACAATGTTGGTATCCTTTGGCTGGCCAACAAAGCATATCCAGTTGGTCTGATGTTGAACCAACTATGATAATACTATTTGTGTGGTTGGTCCATCTGAGGACCAACGATAATAAAATTTCTGCAGTTGGCACAACTGAGGGCCAACGATAAGAACTGCAAATCAGTCATTGGGGCATCTTCACGGACTTCACTGGCTCAAACTCGGTGGGCTAGAACACCCCGTTTTGCTCGAATTGACTTCTAGGTCCCGGCAAATTTCCATATATTTTATTTAAAAAGACAACGCTTCGCTAGAACTACAATGGCTGGAACGTTCGAACTCGGACTACGATCCCTAGAGTGTATGTAGAATGTAAAATGTCATTGATGGCTCGAACTCAAGATGTCAAAAAATGAACGGTATAATGATCATTGCCATTAATGTGCGAAAATTAGATTCGCTAATTTATTTTTCTTGTATATCTCTTAGCGATAATGACATTTCGTGTTTTATAAATGAGGATTTATTAAACGTGATATGCAAAAACGAATCTCTTTTAAAAAGTAAACTAAAATCGTCAGTTTGAATTGATCTGTCGATGTAGCGCTACATGTATATACATGCATTTCTTTTGTACAATGATATTTGATTTTGTGCTATAGTGATATTGAACATATGCTTAGATTGTTGATCGACTTTTTTTTGCTGCATTGTACATGCATCATGTTTGTTGGTTTTATTTCATTAAATAAGTATGAAAATTCTGTTTATGATTTTTACTTCATCTCGGTTCAGATGTATGTACCAAGGATTGGTCCAACATTGCCCCGATTAGCAAACTGGCATAGGGCCAACGTTGTAGACTAGTTCGTTGTTGGACCATCTGGGTTCGTCTCTGTAGTTTATTTGTGTTGGTGCATTTTGCTATACATTAATAAGTATATGCAAAATGTATGTTGTATTATAAGGATCAATGTTTCAGCTTACCAAGATCGAAAGTATCAAACCATATCCCTCGAGTCTTGGCCTTAATGTCCCCATATCACCATTTTTCAGTCTTTTAATTTGAACGCTCAAAGGAATATTGAAGCAGGTATAAACAACATACAAGCCAGACACATCATTATCATGCATGATTTTCCGTCATATAAGGCAGGCGGCTATTTACATTTTTTTGAAGAAAAATACTCATTAGACCCTCCACCATTTTTACCGCGCCACTGCGTATGATGTAGTAGTCTAAAAGACGCCTAAATTTAAGCGATTTGATTTTCGTCGTCAAAATTTGAGCGACTACTTTTTATCAATTTGTACAAACAGGTTTTCCTTCTTGAATGTAACACTAACTATAGCGTCCTTAACATTAAAATAGCGAGTTCAATTTTTCTTTTTATTGTTACATTTAGCAAAATTTTGAAATAACGGCTTAAATTTGACATCTTAGACAAAGGATCTTTCCTTTTTGTAGAAGAAATGAATATAGGTTAAGGCAATATGACGAGGCCGATATACATTTCCGTAGGTTTCTTTCTTGAAAACTGCAATAACTTAGGCGTCCTTAACATTAAAAAAGCGAGTTCAAATTTTCTTTTTAATGTTATATTTGGCAAAATTTTCAAATAACGACTTAAATTTGACGGCTTAGACAAATGATCTTTCCTTTTTTTAGACGAAATGAACATAGATTAAGGCAACATGACAAGGCCGATATACGTTTCCGTATAAATGTGAGGCGTTTATTAACTTTCAACAAGATTTCATTAACACTGATTACATGTATACGGTCAACTTTGAGCGAATAAAACAATTTAATGTTCATATTAACATGTTATGAGATAATATATTTTGAAATATGACCAACTTTGAAACCATTTATCACAAGATACTACTTGTAGCGAATCAAAAATAAGATAATTGTGCTGACGTGTTAATTCGTTTTATTTCTAAAAATAAAGATTGAATATCTAATTAGATTTCGGCATATCGACTGACTTCTAGAACGGTGAAACGCTAAACATGTATTAAACATACAGATGAACTAATTCGATTGAATGAAATGATAAAAGAAATCAATTTTGATTTTATCAATACCGTAATGTCATATGAATTCATTAATATTGAATGACCCACTTAAGAATCTCAATATTTATAAACAGAAAATATGATATCTACCTTGATTGATATGTTGGCTTGAATATTGATTTTATCTGTAAATAGGAAAGTCCTGACGTGTTTAAATTTCATTGGTGTATCCAAGGACAGTCAGGTGTAGGGCGCGTAGCCAGGTGTATAACTACTTCCCGCTACCCAAGACCCCTCTACAACTATATACAATTTAAATATGAATAGAATTATTCCAAAAGACAATTATAGTTAAATTGCAAATAAGTACATGCACTTGTTATTGCAATATGTTTCATCATATACACGTATGTATTAAAAGATCACTTAAATCTGTAACATGTTGAAAGTTTATAAAAGGTCTCACAATTACAGCCAACACAATTCTTATTACTAGTCATGTATTGTGTGGTTTTATTAACCTGTCAATTGAATACTAATTATACTAACCATGCACACAATATATTAATATTCGATAGATTTCAGGTAAGTTGCGTGAGGTTTGATTGAATCAAATATAATCGTGCTGAGCGTTATATAGCCCAATAGGGTAAACTAAGGTTTGATAATTTATAAATGTCCTCCGTGTTGTAAGATCGAGACCGCGTAGGTCCATCTTTTTATCCCCCGCCGATGGAATCGGGAGGGGGATATAGTTTTGGTGTTGTCCGTCAGTCCGTCAGGCCTTCCGTCCATCCGTCCGTCCGAATTTCGTTTCCGGAGTAGTTCTCTGCAACTACTGGCTGGAATTCAACGAAACTTTGTGGGAATCATCAATATCAAGAGGAAATCGTCATATCGTCAGCTTGTTCCGGTCAGACCCTTTAACTCAGAGTTATGGCCCTTGATTAGTTATGTAGTATGCATATAGAGTAAAAATCGTTTCCGCACTACTTCTCCGCAACTACCGCCTAGCATTCAACGAAACTTTATGGGAACCTTCAATACCAAGAGGAGATGCGCATATCGTCGGCTTGTTCCGGTCAGACACATAAACTCAGAGTTATGGCCCTTGATTAGTTATGCAGTATGCATATGGAGCAAATATCGTTACCGCGCTACTTCCCTGCAACTCATGGCTGGAATTCAACGAAACTTTATAAGAACCTTCAATATCAAGAGGAGATGCACATATCGTCGCCTTGTTCCGGTCAGACACTTAAACTCAGAGTTATGGCCCTTGATTAGTTATACAGTATGCATATAGAGCAAATATCGTTACCGCGCTACTTCCCTGCAACTATTGGCTGGAATTCAATGAAACTTTATGAGAACCTTCAATACCAACAGAAGATGCGCATATCATTGCCTTGTTGAGGTCAGACACTTTAACACAGAGTTATGGCCCTTGATTACTTATGCAGTATCCATATTGAAAAATATTTGTTTCCTCACTTCTTCTCTGCAACTACTGGCTGGAATTCAATGAAACTTTATTGGAACCTTCAATACCAAGAGGAGATGCGAATATTGTCGCCTTGTTCGGGTCAGACATTTTAACTTGAGTTATGACCCTTGATAACTTAGGCAGTATACAACCAGAGCAATAATCGTTTCAATGCTACTTCTCTGTAACTATGGCTGGAGTTCAATGAAACTTTATGGGATACTAAGAGGAGATGTGCATATTTTCGCCTTGTTCCGGTCAGATACTTATAATTCAGATTTATGGCCCTTTATTAGTTATATAGCATGCATACATCTCATTGGCATTTCCAGATATTACTATTTAACACAAAGTTATGGCTTTGTTATTGCCTTGAATATTTATCAAGTTCAAAGAATATTACTGTTTATGCCATGATTAATATATAAATAAAGCTTTATGTCTTCAGTTGTTGTGTAAATAATAACCATTACTCGGCGGGGAATATAAATTCAACGAATTTGCTGTTTTATTTTCAATATTATTGAAGCTATGATTGATTTTTATATTGTTCGTTTTATTTTAACATGTTTTGCGCTTATTTTGCTAATGGGTATACTCTTTTGAAGTACTAGTAACATGTTTAAGAATTTATTAATATCTAAAATTAATTCGGATTAAATAAATAAATGTTATTTTAATGCCGTAAAACGCATGCACAATACAAATGGAAACACAACAGTGTTTCTAAGTTGCTTCATATCCATGTGAACAATTTTGCAAGCATTATTTCCTTTAAAATAATTTGCAAAAGTAAAAGAGTAGGTCTAAAACAATGGCAACAGAAAGGATCGAACCAAAGATCTATCATATACTAGTATAAGGTAAACACATAACCGATTGTGCAATTGCGGATGTGGCAACGAGCTATGTTTTAATGAAAGGAGTGTTGTTTTAACATAGCAAACGTTAAACTGATAATCAAGAATAATTTCTTTCAGGTTTTATTCACAATGAGCAAAAGATAATGTTGTGGTGATGTTTTTACGCACTAGTAGTTGAAATACGCCTGGTATTCTTGGTCTACCAGTATAATATGCTAGGCCTATAGGTAAGTAGCACACATAGGCATTCAGCCAGTATAGCGTTGACTTGATAGTTTATGTAGCGTTTTATGTCCTGTTTTTAGACACAATTAGCTATATACCATAACTTTGCTAGAAGCTTAAGTAAGCTTCAACAAATTTGTCAGTAATTTAATAAGAAGAAAAAAAGTCTGTTTTAACGCTTCACTGGAATTTATATATCAATATACATAAATGTAAAATTTCATTTAAGTGTCATTAAATATACACAAGATATCAAAATATGTAGACTTTTTTTGTAAAAAAGTATACATAATTGACCTACAATTGAGCATCGGGGAAAGCTTTAAAGCTTCAATTTATATATAGATTTACGAAAATCTTTAAAACTTGAAAATGATAGGTGCCTCCCAATTGATTATTGTTTACAATATTGTTAAAGGTATTTTATTTTCTTTTCTGTTTTATTTCCTTTAAATTAAAAAAGTAGAAAATTAAAGTGAAAGAAACAGTGATATTTTATAAAAACAATTGCATTTATTTGATGTATACAAAAACCTTTGTTTTGACAAATCTAAAGTAAATTGTTTTACATAACTATTAAATATGATATTAAAAATCTCTCTTGAAATGTAATAATATTCTTTATTATATACTTATAAATGAAATATTGAAAACTATAATTGTTATGTTATAATGCGTATTTTCATTTCCCGTTTTTTTTCACTGTAAAAAATGTTTTTCACTGGTGTCTTGCCGGACTACTTTCATCTAAATTTAGCCAATACACATCATTTAAGGGGAAGTCTTGCAAAATTAATGTTATAAAAAGAGAAACATGTATACAATTAACAGAAATTCATTTTTTTGTAAATACAGGAATTATTTTCATCTTGTGTTATGAAAATAATCATTATTCCACTCTTGGCTACCGCCACTCATGAATATTTATTTTTGATATCACTCGATAAAAATAAATCCTGTATTTTATAGAAAAACTTAAATATCCTCTATAATTAAGCATTTTACATTTTTTTCAGGTCAAATGTAATAATATTCTTTATTATATACTTATAAATGAAATATTGAAAACTATAATTGTTATAATATAATGCGTATTTTCATTTCCCGTATTTTCACTGTAAAAAATGTTTTTCACTGGTGTCTTGCCGGACTACTTTAATCTAAATTTAGCCAATACACATCATTTAAAATGCGTTCCAGAATAAAAAAGGAAATTCCAGATGTCCTTTTTCCGGGGGTCGACCTACAGACACTTTTTCAGCAACAAATTTACATGCAGAGAGAGAGATTAAGATAGGGGAATAATTCCCCTATCTTTTAAACCTCCGACGAAACGCATTGCACCTGTTCGTTGTGCGGATAATATTTTACTATTTTCTATATGGGTTTATTTCCTAAGGATAATGTTGAAATCGTTGCTCGGAGTTATTTGATGAATAGTCATAGAACAAAATATTTCTCTTACTTTTGAACGAGTCGATAATAATGCCTTATTAATAAATTGAAGACGACCAATACTTTTTTAAAATATGAAATAGGGCGGTAAAAAAAAACTAATGCAAAAATATCTGATAATTTTTTCGGTACATGCTTACATACTTTTGTTTGAGAATATATAGTAGAGAAAAAAATCATACAATATTAATTCACATAAAATAGATAAAATAATAATGGACTATATAAAATATGATGACATTTATCTATTAAATATGTCATCAAATTGGGAAGGACAACAATATGTTAATCAAATAACCCACACGTTTGGTTCTTTACTTTAAACTATAGGCATTTTTATCTTGATGCTATTGTTTATACTATATTAAACATGTAATGTAAAACATATTTTTATTTATTTTACACGTATGAATAAATCATTCAAAATATTGACGAAATGTAATGCGTTTTTATTCATTTCCGTATTTTGTCTGTATAAGCTTTCTATTAATGCAGTATAGCCTATTTTCGTCAATATGCATATTACAAATAAATAAAAAAGGGCTGTAATAGCTGCACTCATTTTAAAACAGAGGGAAGAAAATATTTGACTGAAATTTATTATATTTCTATAATTACGCTATTTGCGCCGCGTCACGACAAAACCAACATAATGGGTTTGCGACCAGCATGGATCCAAACTAGCCTGCACATTCGCGCAGTCTGATCAGGATCCATGCTGTTCGCTTACAAAACTCTTTAACAAGTACAGAAACTGATAGCGAACATCATGGATCCTGATCAGACTGCGCGGATGCGCAGGCTGGTCTGGATCCATGCTGGTCGCAAACCCATTATGTTGGTTTTGTCGTGGCACGGCTCATTTATTTTCATTATGAATATTAATTTATTATATCTTATCCGTGTCTTAAACGACTGGTGAAATATTTATTTTCATTCTTCTCAATCAAGTAAATAGTAGGGAAAAAACAACTTAATCTCCTCTTTTCATTATATTCTTAAACATCCTTAATATTGCATACATAAATTAGATAATTATTTTTCCTGTTTTTAAACTTTCAGAATTTACTTTTTACTGCAGGAAAACTTATTCCCGTATTATCACTAGTGTCTTGCCGGACAACATTTTTCTGAAGTCAGCCACATCACAAAATTAAAGAATTGTCTTTCAAATTTTAAAAAGTCGAACATGAGAAAATGTATATAATAAACTGATTTTTTTCTCTCTAAATACATGATTAATCATGAAAGTTTTGATATTTCTCTCGTCGTGAAATATCTATTTTCATACTATAATTCCTGTATTTATAGAAAGAAACTTAACCATCACCTATTTAAATTGAATCATCTTTTATCTTCTATAGGTAGCGTATTAAAAACAAATATAAATGATTCCGTCGTCACTTATTTATTATTTTATTTTTAGTCCGATACATGTGTAATCCATTGTCCAAGATATGTTTGTTAATTGCTGAAAAATAAAACAACTAAAATAGAGAAACAGCACTTGGTGAAATCTATGTATGGTGTGATATCTTGTTGATTTTTTCTATTACATCAGTTTCTTCACATCAAAGATCCTTTATCTGAAAACAAATATTGAAACAACGGTTAATCGTTTTATAATACAACCTAGTTTAACTTCATCGTTTGTTTTATTGATCACAAGCATTTAAATGAAATAAAAAAATAAAGTAGCTTCATTTTGTATGGATTTATAAAATGTAAAACCAGATTCTGTATTTATATATATATTAATATGTATTTATTTATTTATAAAAAGCTTAAACTTTTAACGTAAATAAGATAAATAAGAAAATAACTCCCATACGATGATTTCATAGCATATGTATTTCACTCATATAATTATACAAGGATTGTTTAAAACATATCTTCCTTTCACTTTACCTGTACACTGACATTTGCCTAAAGTATTATTTCAATATTCTACAATAAAATGAAACAATAAGTGAAATTTCTTGCAACCTGCTGCATTAGCATAGTATAAAAGGTGTCATAAATATAAAACATTAAGTGAATAACCCCCGCCTATTTTTAATCAAAACGCTTGAATCGTTCTAGCTAATAAACCAGTTAATTATAAGATTCATTACAGCTGATGTAAGGGTGGACTCACGCCACAACTGAGAATTCATTAATAATTTATCGGCTAGTCGAAGTTCATGACCTCGTGTAAATTGTTTACAAGTGTCTGCAATTTGTATCAATTTTCAACATGGCTAATGAAGCTACGACTTTCAGCGAACTTATTTGTTAAATTCTTCACATGGCCTATAATAGATACAAAAAGATACGCATTTTAAAATAATTTTATTCTAAATGTTTTAATAATATCGTTTTAATCGCTTCATTATTATGTTTTATATTTTTTTTTGTATCTAAAGATATCATATCAATATTCTAACAATGTGAAAAGATAAAGAAAATGTTACTAAATCATTTGTATTTTCTAAAGAAACAACAGAGATTTCTTCTCAGTTTTTTATTGCTTCAACCTTTTTCGTCTTTTGGGTCTTAATATAATCGATAATCGACATAAAATGATGTACAACGAACATATATTGCATAAAAAGTCAACTTTTTAATTCATGATAATGATAAATATCATATCGCCTGAACAGAAAAACTGAAATTAATACCTTTGATTTGCATTTGATGATCGCATAATCTTTCGCTCTATTTAAGTGTAGTCCATTTGATTATAATTTATAAAACAATAACACGCTACCACATCCTAATAAATGTTGTATACATTGTACTTCTGCGCATCATGTTTCCATTACGATGGGATAGCTATAGTGTCCGCTTAATTCGTTCCAGATATTAAATTACGCGTCAGAATGTTCCGGTAGCAAATTAGATGTAACACCTCAGTGTTAATTGCAGACATAGACGATTACCGCACTGAACTTGCATTATTGTGTCATAAAGGTAGTAAAATGTAAAAAAAAAAATGTTTTACTTAATAGTTTACAACTGTAACAATAGGATGAATTTATAAATTGGTCATCACGAGCTGTTATGTGTATCACGTGTACCGAAAACTAGTTTTAAGGCAATAAAATTGGTAGCATTTCTGATGCATAATTAGACTAATCTTATTGCAGAGTATATGTATTCATGCGTATATGTCTAGATTAAATTTTAAGGAACTGTGAAGTTCTATTTTTTAAAATGTTATCATTTACTCAGTATACAAATCAAGTCGCTGTGAGATAAATAACAACTAAAACAAACATTATTTAAATGAATTAAGTGTCACTGATAGTTAAACATATTTTCTATCATAGAGTTTCTTATATATATCAAACTATTAGTAAGAAGAAATACTGATATTTCAACAAGAAACTAGATTTATATTTCTTAAGTAGCCAAAGTTAAGCATTTTGATAATAGTGGAAACTTTCTCTCTATTCAGGTTGTTTAGAGTGCATCTTGTCTATTCAGGGAAATGATGACTTTAGACTATAATAAGGTCATTCATTCGCGGGCGATACAAACTCCAATATTGTAATCAGCCGGAAAC